GGGGCCGGGAGGGAGAAAACAAGAGGAGCTGATACCAAGGGCTCAATAGAAAGTAAATGTCTAGAAAAGAATGAAGGCAACATATGTACAAATTCATCGGATGCAAGTGATGTATGGATTGTGACGAGAGTTGTAAGAGTCCCCAGTAAAATTATCTTTTAATAAAATTTTAAAAAGTAGAGTTGGCCATAATGACACAAATGGAGTGAAGTCTTTGGGACCTTCATTTGCCGATGGGGCAAAACTCAAAAGGAGAAGAAACAGCTGGGGGGAAAAATCTAATAGTTGGATCTTGAAATACACAAAGTGTGGCTCTAGGAAAATTGGAAGTCATTAAAAATGACACAAAGCACATAAAGATTGATGTTCTAGGCAATCAGAAAGTCATGTGGTTTGCTATGCTGGGAATAACACATTCAAGAGGAATGATGTTGCAGTCAGAGTCAAAGTGGACATTTCAGTATCTCTCTCGAAGTATAATGCTCCTGAAGTATAATCTGCATCCAAGGAAATCCAATTAACCCAACTCTTTTTCAAATTTATGCACCAACCCCTAAAGGTAGTTATGAAGAAATTGAATTCTACCAATGTCTTCATTCAGAAATTGATCAAACATACAATTAAGATGCATTGATAAACATTGGTGATTGGCATGCAAAAGTTGGAAACAATGAGGAAGGGACAGTAATTGGAAAATATGGACTTGGTGATAGAAACAAAGTTGGAGGTCATATAATAGCATTTTGCCAGACCAATGACTCATTCATAGCAAATAACAATTTTTAAATATTACTTTGAGACACAAGAAATTGAGTTGAAAAATTTTAAATTAAATAAGTAATTTAGCCATCTGGTAGCATAGTGGGATACATGTTGTGCTGCTAAACCACAAGGCCAGCAGTTCAAAACCCCCAGCTGCCCAGTGAGAGAAAGATGAGGCTCTCTCCTTTTGTAAAGAGTTACAGTCTTGGAAACCCACAGGGGCAGTTCCACTCTGTCCTATAGGGTCATTATGAATGAGAATTGACTTGCTCTGACACATTGGAAAACTGTTGCTAGTGGCTGGTTTTAGTGTGAGTGGTTTTAGGAAATGGTCGTTTCAGACATAGTTGGTTAAATCAGCAGGCTCAGATTGAAGTCTGTCTTTATAGGATGAGTAGGGGAGTTGCCTTACAATTAAATGCAGCAATATTTCAATCAGTGATTTTTGCTGTTAGTAAAGCTGCCTTTTATATCCTGAATGGTTTGTCCTTTTGTTCTGGTTAGAGACCATGGTGTTCCCGGTAGACCTGCTGGAAGATGGCACTCACGAGGAACTGGAGACTTCTGCTGAGGGTTACATGGCCGACCTGAGGTGTGGGGACCCTGAAAACCCAGAGATTTTTTCATTTCTAAATATTACGGTAAGATATCTTTGTGATCTCATTCAGTCTTTTTAGTTAAGTTTATTCAAGAAATGAATATCTTCTTTATTTTTACCATTTTAAAGTGCTAATCATTCATTTTTGAAATCTTCATCAGAAGTCTATTCAGTAAAATGGATAAAATACTAGTAAAGTAGCAAGCAGCACAATCAGCTCTTTAAAAGACTCCACAGGTTATTACTGGTGATTTATTTTATATGTAAATTATGTGTACATATAAATTATGTATACTTAATTCACCTGTTTTTCTTGGAATGGTTACTATATTGTAGCTAATGCAAATGGAATCTACTTAGGGCTTGGAATTTGGGAGCTTAGGATTTTTTT